CCCCCCCCCCCCCCCCAGCGCCATCTACACAAGGGGAAAGAGACATATAAGGACAACCTTTACCCAAGGGAGCTCAGTATCAGAGTTCTCAGTCCTGATGATGCAAACTGCAACGTTTGTGAAACGTCGACACATCGCTGATTCAAGACACGACTCCATTCCGGAAGCTGTACCTATAGATTGTATCAATGGCCGTGAAAACCTCAAATCTAGTATAAACAGAGTCTGCTCTGCAGGTAACATTGACATATGCATTATACGTTTCCACAGGGGAGGTACTCCAACTCATATAGCTTCCATAGCTCTCCAAACCAGTCCACTTCAACCAACAGTCCTAACTACTGGCCTAAAATTCTTACATCCTTAGACAACCTGGGAAATATTCTGGTTTGTGGGAACTTTAACGGCAAACACTCACTATGGAGTGGCAACTCAACTCGGATCTTGCAGGCTGCCGGATTTGTGATGCCTTCGAGAACACCGGGCTTGTGGTGCTGAACGATGGTTCCTATACTTGGTCTTCCTGCGACGGCAATTCTCAAAGCGCTATCAATATCTCCATGGCTTCCCCGCAACTTGCAAATACTTCGGCGTGGCAAGTAGATCAATATAAATATGGAACACTTCCCTATCATTATGAATTTTGATTTAGAATTTCCGGAAAAATTTTTAACTAGACCGCATTATATAATCTCCAAAATAGATATGGGATATTTTTAAAAAGGAAGTTTAACGCAACATTAATAATCTTCCTAAGGACATATATCCTGTTAAGAACTTGCAAAATCCCACATATTGCTATCAGACACTTACTAACATTTTAGATGCTGCTTTTCACTCCTCAGGGGCAAAAGTTAATAGGCATCAACACGCCTTACAAAGACCTCCCGTACATTGATGGGACGATGAGTGCTCAACCCTGATCGCCACCAAGCGCGAACAATATAAAAAATTTAAGGAAAATCTTAGCATAGAAAATATAAATATTTACTTAAATGTATGTCGTATTGTTAAGAATAATTTAAGGAAAATAAGAAACCGCAAATTCAAAGAATTTTGCACTTCTCTGAATGCTTTTAGTGATACATCAAAAACATGGAAGATAATCAAATCCTTCCAAAAAAAAAAAAAAAAACGCTCTGTGATACAAATGAATGCAAATTTCTCTGAAGATTGCGCCCAGAGGGACTATTTCAATGTAAAACTAACACATTCATATAGTCCCTCCCGACAGGCCTTCCACCCTATATCTCTCTCGTTTATAAATTGCGTAGGTCCTATAGAAGACTCTCCTCACAATTCCATCATTGCAAAAAATTCGTTGCCCTATCTTAATGACCACATATCTTAGGAAGAATTCAAAACGGCCGTAAAATTGACCTCGCGGAAAAATCAGCTCCAGGATATGTTTATGTACAAGTACAAAAATATCATATTAAAAACCTTACGCTGCTTTGCTCATTGTATGTTAACTTTTCAACTTTTTTCTCAAAAAATGCCAGTATCCTCAAGGCTGGAAAAAATTCCATATGATACTCTTACTGAAACCAAATAGTAATGGCCTAAAACTTATTTCCTTAGCTTCAAATTTTCTCAAACTTTTTGAAAAAAATCATAAATGTAAGACTGGAATGGTGGCTAAAGCACAATTGTTTACTTCCAAGCTTTCAGTATGGATTCAGACGAAGAAAATCTAGTGTTAATAATGTTTTTGATTTTAAAACTTTCATAGAAGCTTCCTTCCAGCAAAACCTCAAAGTAGGAGTATTGTTTATTGATGTAAAAGGAGCTTTTGACAACGTCAATCCTATCAAACTTTTATACATATTAAGACTGTTTAAGAATCCCGAAAGAAATCCGAAAATTCATACACTTCTTACTTATCAATAGAATCATAACAAGTTTTTCGCAAGGTTTATGCCTGGGCACTAGGAAAACGTCTATGGGAGTACCTCAGGGCTCAGTTCTGAGCCTCTTACTCTTTAATATATAAGGTCTAGTAAAAAGAAATCCATTATTTTTGCATAAAGTTGAAGGCTTTATTTAGCATAGTTAGAATGATCCGATTTAGGTCAAATATGCACTGTTTTGTTCGATAACTTGTTGCCATTTTGAAGGTAATTCCATTATGCCTCTCTCATAGAAACCCTTGTCCCTATTGGCAAAAAACTGGGACAGTCGATTTTCACAAGCTTCTCTTGAGGCGAGTTTTTCACCAGCAAAATCATTTGCCATAGACAGAAACAGGTAGTAATCACTTGGTGCCAGGTCCGAACTATAAGGTGTATGCATTAGAACCTCCCAACCAAGCTCCCGGAGCTTCTGGCGAGTCACTATCGATGTGTGTGGCCTGGCGTTGTCCTGATGGAACACAATTCCTCTCCTATTGGCCAAAGCTGACCGCTCCTGGGCGATTGATTCTTTCAGACGGTCCAATTGTTGACAGTACAGGTCCGAATTAAGAGTTTGGCCGTAGGAGAGCAGCTCATAATGGATGATTTCCTGCCAATCCCACCAAACACACAGCAAAGCCTTCCTGACCGTCAATCCTGGCTTGGCCACCGTTTGCGCCGGCTCACCGCGTTTCGACCACGACCGTTTTCGCTTGACGTTGTCGTAAGTGACCCACTTTTCATCACCAGTCACCATCCGTTGCAGAAATGAGTCGATTTTGTTGCAATTCAGCAGCTATTTGCAGATGGAAATTCGGTCCATGAGGTTTTTTTACGTTAACTCGTGTGGCAACTATACATCGAGCTTCATTTTGTATCCAGCCTTATTCAAGTGGTTCCAAACGATTTTTTGTGCAATGTTTAGCTCCTGGGCAATCGAAACAGTGCTTACATGACGGTCGGACTCGACGATTTCCATTATTTTATCGACATTTTCGATAATTGGCCTTCCAGAGCGTGGTGCATCTTTGACATCAAAATTACCGGAACGGAATCGACGAAACCAAAA